CCCCAAAACCCCAAAACCCCAAAACCCCAAAACCCCTCTGACTAGAGGATTTATTGAATTAATACATTTTTATAGAACTTTCCAATCCCGATTTGTAAATGAGGAGGCTTCTTCTTCTCTTTCTGTTTAGGATTTGTCTTTCTCTTTGTCTTGATCAATTCAAGAAGTTTCTCTGCTCTCTTATATGTTTTCTTTAAATTTTTTGAAATACCAAACTTCCTAAGAAGAAAAGACCATCTGGTTTTATTCTGGGCCTCATCTCTATCATTCTCAACTACAGAGAAGTCTATCTCAGTATCTGAGTCGTACTCACACTCAATGATCATCTTAAGGAGCTTGATATCATCCCTCTTGTCCCTACTGGAAGTCTGCGACAGAATAGGATATATGATATTCTTCCATTCATTCTTGCAATCATCATAGGATCTAATTGATCCTGTAGATTCCCCAACAGTCTTGGACTCTTTCTATAAAAATTAACCTGGAGCTTACCATTTCCTTACTAATATCAGTCCATGGAAGGTAGTTTAGTGGGACATCTTCAGGGTCGGTGACCAACAAGTCTGCTATCTCTCTAAGTTCAAATTCTTTAAAGAATAGGATACCGTCTTTCTTTTTCTTGTATCCTTTCTCCAAGAGTCTCTTCTCTCTATCAGTAAGCTTCCCCTTCTTCATCTCCTTTGCTTGCTTGAATTTTCAAGAGCCTATTCTCTTAAGAAAACTGTGGTCTGAAATAGAATCAACGATCTTTATCAATTCTAATTTTTCTTCAAGGCTCCATTTCCCTTTCTTCCTCATATTGGAAGGGACTCCTCCAAGCTCTCTGTACTTGTCACGACAGTTTTCAGGTGTTCTGTTGAGTTCCTCAGAGATTTTAGTCCAAGAATTGCCAAGAGTCTTGACAAGTTCCACCAAATGTATTTCTTCGTCGTTACTCCATTTCCCTTTATAATTATTTGAACTAAATTTTCTTTTAGCAGCTTTTTGGCAAGCATAGACTGTTCTGTTAGCTACAAGAATTCATTAGAGCTCATAAACTTACGTAAACACTTGGAGATCTCAACCCAAGCTCTGGAATATCCCTTGTCTCGTGAGCTTTCATTAACTAAATTTTGGATTTCTGCTGGGGATAAAGAATTTTCGACTCCATATTCGCAAACAGCTTTACGAAGAGCGATAACTTCTGCCTCTGAGAATGCCCCATTCTTGATTTTCCTGTCCTTTCCATCATTCCATTTCCTTTCCTCTACTGGTTCGTTAGGATTGGGTTCTATTTTGCCTTCAGAGATTTTCACTCTCTTAAAAGAATCCTTCGTGTTAACATTTCAATTTTTCATCGAATTTTCTTCTTGATTAGAAGCTTTTTCAGGATATGATGGTTCATCGGAGTAACTTACCTCCGGTTGTTCAAACCTAACATTCTTGGGAGAGGCTTTGAGCTCCTTCTTAGCAACTACTGGTCTAGATGAGTGCCTACTATTGCCTGAGAACTCTTCAGACATGCCCTCAATGAGCATATCAGACTTGCTTTCTTCTTTGGGCTCCTTTTTAGAGACCTCCTTAAGATCTCTCTTCTTCATAGTTCCTTTAGAAGCTTTCTTGGCTTCCTTGTCGATACTGTTCTTCAACTCTTTAAGTAGGTAAAGGATGTGAAGGTAGTGCTTCTTCTGGTCTTTATTGTTATCCTTTTTCTTTTTGTATGAATTTTTAATTAAGACCTTCTTCGCCTTAAAAATGCTGGTCGAGTTTATCTCTTTATCATAGCGCTTGAAGATAGCCTTGGAGTGCCTCTTGCACATGTTTCGCAGGTTCCGCAAGGTTTCTGTGTTGTCATTGGCCGATTTTATCATGGAATTACTGTCAGAAGCAGATAGGTTTGAAGTTTCCATCTCAGACTTCACCTTTGGGTCTTCCATAACATTCATTTTGATACAATTATTAAATAAAGGAATCAGTTTTATACCTTCTCTCAGGGGTTTTGGGGTTTTGGGGTTTTGGGGTTTTGGGG